GTATTATGCATTAAAATTTTTGATTTTATTTTTTATTATTCAATTTTATTTTAATTTTTATTTTGCTTTTATTTCTTAAGGTACGCTTTAATGTCGGTAATATGTTATAACAGAAGGCATAAGAACAAATACAGATAGGAAGATCTAAGTTAACCAATCTACGGTAATCGCTTTAACAAGATAATTAATCCTATTTCAGACCTTTCGATAGTAAATGTTACAAAAGAAATTTTAACACTATCAGTAACCATAAGCTGATTTGTCATGAACTTACAGGGTTTCAGTTAATACTTTTATTAACATGTAAACATTGTTTCATTGGATGATTCCAAATTTCGTTACACGAAATTAAAATTGATTGGTTAAAATTACCTAAGGGAATTAAGGGTCACATGATGTACAGTAAAATTGATTGGTCTATTATTGTTATGGAAGTTGTTGTTCTAAAGTCCTTTCCTCTGAAGAGCCATAGATTGTATGACTCTGGATTGAAATAGTTTAAAAAATAGTTTGAAAATAAATTGAGGAAAAAGGACATCTTTTTGTATTTTAGTTGTACAAGAATTCCCCTAGTACCAAAGCAGAACAATTGGGTCAAAAATGTGACCACTAGAGTGGTCACAAGGTTTTTCTATTTTTAGCTCCTGTGACCTAGTTTTTCATCAGAGATGACCCATGTTCGAACTCATCCAAGCAATTGACTAGACAAGCATTCTGACCAAGTTTGATGATGATTGGTTCAAAAATGTGACCACTAGAGTGTTCACAAGGTTTTTCTATTTATAGCTCCTGTGACCTACTTTTTCATCCGAGATGACACATGTTCGAACTCATCCGAGCTATCACCTAGACAAACATCCTGACCAAGTTTGATGATGATTGGGTCAAAAATGTGACCTCTAGAGTGTTCACAAGGTTTTTCTATTTTTAGCTCTTGTGACCTAGTTTTTCATCTGAGATGACCCATGTTCGAACTCATCCGAGCTTTCAACTAGATAAGCATCCTGACCAAGTTTGATGATGATTGAGGCAAAAATGCGACCGCTAGAGTGTTCACAAGCAATTGTGGACGGCCGGACGGACGACGGACGACGGACGACGGACATTCATCGATCCTAAAAGCTCACCCTGAGCAAGCTCAGGTGAGCTAATAAAACGGGAGGAACTCACAAGAGAAGATTCCCGAACACTGTTTAGTACATGAACTGTAAGGTTTCCAAGTTTGTGAAGCTGAAAGAATAGTCTGAAACTTACCAGGTATTCCTTATTGTCACCTATAAAAGTCAACAATAAAAAAACTGACAACAAAGCTAGATTTAACATTTTATTATATTTCAAAATTAAATTACAACAATAAGTCAAATAATATTAAAGGAACAGATCTACAACAAAATGCAAATGATGTATACAATAAAATAGTTCACAACAACTGATAACAGTAATAATATTTCAAATTGGAAATAACACAATACATAAACAATAAATAACAAATATAAGTTCCTAATCTTTGGCCCAACTTAACAGTAAACACTCATTTGTAACAGTGTCTTGAAATTAATGGCATAAATTTGTGTCTTTCAGAATCCTTAAATAAAATTAGTTTCATGTCAATTTTAATATCATTATATCCTAGTTCTAAACCGTAAGGAAATAACATTAGTCAAATACAACAGTAATGATTATTCAAATTGGAAAGAACTTGTTCAACAATTTACATTTAACAATGTCTTGAAATTCATGGCATATTAATGTCTTTCAGAATTTTAAATGAAATTAATTTCATATGAATTTTTATATCATTACATCCTAAATATTAGTTTTACATACATTTATACAGGTATAGAAATAATATTTCTGGAATTCTTTTATTTACCTTTCTGGAATGTAGGCAGTATCAATGAAAACTATTGGATTTCTTAAAGAAAAAAATATCTATATAAATAAATCTTTAAAAAAAATATGACAATAAATAGTTAATAACACAAATGAATGAAAATAATCAAATGCGATATTGCACAAAAATTGCTACAGTAAACAAAGATGATGAAAACATTATGTCATTAAAGAAAAAACGGATAATGAGCCAGCATATTTCTTTCCAAATTCAATTAAAATATTCTTATATTGAGGTCATTTTCATAGATCATGGGTTTCAATATCTTTCACATCATTCTAATCTGTTGATGTTCATTTCATCAAATTCAAAATCACATATTTGCCATCATTATGTAACCTTCTGAGCTGTTAAGTTTGATGAGTTTCAAAATCAAATATAACATTCTGAAATGATATTCATTAAGCTGAACATGTATATCATTACATTCAGGGTATCCAAATCAAATATAACATTTTGAATTGTTGATCATCATGTTCATTGGTTTCACAATCCAATATAATTTCTGACCCAGTGATAATAAAATCATAATCAATGTACTACAATCAACCAAAAAGTTTCTATAGAGTCTGGTTATTCAGGTCCAGATAAACTTCCTGACATACACTTACAAAGTATGAAGTAGTCAAACAGATTGATACCAGTGCTGACAAAGTTTCAAAGAAAATTGGTCAATAATATAATGATCTTGTCTATGTTTTTTCTCCACAAAAAGGGAATGTCTTTATTAAAATGTATCCATATATGATATACGAACTGCCTCTACTATAAAATTGGATGAAAATAAGTTTTATACATGTATAAAAGATAAGTTACAATAATTGCTTTCTGAGATTCAAAACATTTTAGCTGAAATATAATAACTTAAAATAAATTAAACTTTTATAGAAAAGCTTTGAGCTTACATTGTGTTCCAATTTCTAAAAGAAATCACAACCTAAGTGAGCTTTTTAATTAAAGGATGCAGCTCGAATTAATTCAGGAGAGTAATTGTATACATGTAGTTTAGAAATGAAAGTCAGTTGACAAATATTAATCAGTCGAAATTAAATCTCCCGATACTTCTATCCCATGCTCTTCCTGTACTTCTTCTTCATCGTCCATACCATCATTGAATTGATTAGATGTGTCGTACGTAAACGTGCCTCGTGACAGATCCACTTCAATTGGAAACACAATAGCTGTCTTCATCACTGTGTGGCAATCATTATGGTACTTGGCCATTCCAGACACAAACCGCTGAAGTTGGAACACAATGTCTTGTACTGTAAAAATATAAATTTTTATATCAAAATTAATAAAATGTCCAAACTTAGTCAAAAGTCTGAAAACGAACTTGTTGAAAACCCTTGAACTGTATTAAATTTAGACACATGACCTAAACAGTTTCTTGCATGTAGGTTTGTTTCAAGAAGTTGGTTTTACAAGCTTTGACATGGTACCTCTTACAATGAGCATAGTTAGCCAGCAAATACATGCTGGTTGAAAAGGTTGACTTAAGTAACATTGGAAAATGGAAAATGTCAAGAACAAAGCTGAAGTAGTCCACCAGTCCGACTACTGATATATTTTCTTGCCCTATATCAACAAAGAAAAATCTGAATCAGCTGATAAATGCTGATTTTGTTTTCCTTGCTTCGTGAATGAATGTAAATAAAAATTAGGTTGAAACAACAGAATTTGTGAAGTCATTTCTAAAGCTACCAATTTGCATGTATTTGCATGTCTTGGAAAAGTTATGACATAAATAAAAAACATGATAAAAAAATCCAATCAAATGTAAGTCCATATTGAAATTTAGAAATCAATATTTCAATAAAATTATAAACTTTTTTTATTAAATGTTTTTCACATGTTAATTTTTCACATGTTTAACATGTGATCCTAGATTGCACACTTCTGAAACGAGGCAAAGATGTCAACTAAAATCAAAATGTAACTTTTAAGGTACATTACAATAAAGTTTCTCTAAACTCGTCAAGCAGTTCATGGGTAGCTGCCATTCAAAACTATTTTCTATTTTTAACTCTGGTAGCCATTTTGTTCAGTTCTAGCTGCTATTTTCATAGATTATACGAGTTTCATCAAAAGTTTGCTAAATGGTTAGTGAGTTGTCTTTTCAAGTGTCTTTTTTTGTATCTCAAGCATCTATCTATTAAAGCAAAACAGTTTAGTTATTTCGCAATCATTTAACTACCCAGTGACTTCATCTAATAAGTTACATCTACAAAGACTAAGTGGTTAAATACGGGATGTTATTTAAAGCTTCTTTATATTTTAGTTCTGGCAGCTATCTCGTTCACTTGACTAGAACATTAGTGACCATCTTCTTTCATTTCAACACCTTCACTAAATTCAGATCATGTTAAAAGATTACGAACAGAAATGAAAGTACTGATCTTGATCGTTTGTGAACATAGGTTTTTCTTGCATATCAGACTGGTGTTTCCGTTAATTTTGCCCATGCCGGAAATTTCATCTGGCATGGGAGGTGCCAAATGAGTTTCTTGCTATACAATACCATGCTCTGGATGACGTAATTTTGCCATTATAAACGATGTTGTAATTTAATACACTGTTGTAAGAAAATAGTTACAGGTGTAATGACATGAATTTCCATGAAAAAATGTTTTATTAAGGTGAAGAATTTGAAATATGTTGGAGTATGGTAGAATATGCAAGAAAAAATATCTGACATATGTTTGCGGTAAAGATCGAAATATCCGTCCCTCGTGAACCCGGTCAAGGGACGGATATTCCGATCTCTGAACTACAACATGTGATAGATATTATTCATCTTTATGTATTGTTTCTTTCCAATATACAAGCTACTTTGTAGTTACAATGGTTGACTTCATGCATTTATTTTGCCAGTTTTTAAAAATAGCTGTATTCTTTAATTATTATACAAATATATAGGTAATTGATAACATGCTCAAAGAGCCTATAACACAGGTTTCACAGTAATATTTATTCAATAAATGTACATGCATATTTACATTGAATCGATACAAATTTGCTGTTACCTAAAAATAATCATTGTATGTGGTTTCTTGATTAAACAATAAGTAAAGTGGTATAAACTGCATAGTCTTGTTATCTTGTTCAAAATACGTCCGCCCTGATATTCATACCACGTGAATACCATGAATACAGTAAGGCTTGGATTTTTATGTACATGTACATGTAAAATTATAAAAAAAATAAAATTGAAAATCAGCTCAATATTTCAGGGTGATTGATTCAAAGTTCAAACAAACAGAAATCAACAGGGGATTTTAGAATGCAATCTGAATTCTTGGGCTTAATACAGTATTTAAAGAACCAAAAGCATGGCTGCTGAAATTAATTTGCGAAGTTTTCAACAATTATTTGGACATGATAAAAAGGATTTAGATTGTGTCATTAATGCGATAAAAGATTTTAATGATAATAAAGGCAATTTGCTAAGAATAACATGTGAACTAAGAAGCATGGGTATAATAAGCAAGGAAAATTATAGGAATTTGATTGAGTTGCATCGTGGAGACAGGGACATGTTATTACCCGAGTATATTTTAAGATTATGGGTAATGATTCCTTTTGAAGACCTGTGTTTTATTCTAGATAGAGAGGGACTGAATACAGTCGTTTTAAAGCTGCAGGAGGCGAGATTTACACGTATGTACAGAAAACCTCAAAAAAGAGAACTTCTTTTTGTAAAATTCATTCATAAATATTACACAAATCTAAAAAGCCAAATAGATAACAACTGTTTCATTGGTGGCAAACAGGGTATCAGAATTATTCTAAGAGCACTTCTTGCTAAATGGGATGACACCGTGGCATCAAGTCAAAGCACAGAAAACGATCGGCAGTTAGCAATGGAGAAAAAAGCTGTAGGTCTTGTCTTACTTATGCAGCAGTATAAAAATCCAGAGAAACGAGAGATTATTCTTACACAAGCACTAAAAACAGAGACAAATGGATGCGATAACATGTCCCTTCAAATAGTTTGCCATTCAAAATTGGCGTGTACAGAAGCGTTCAGAGGAAACAATGCTGCTGCTAAAGAACATATTACACACGCACAAGCTCTTTGTGAAAACATTTCACCATGCTTTGCTGTGATATCTGCTTTTCATGACTTTTTATTTGTGCAAAGATTATTCTTCTCAAACAAACAGTCAAACGACAAATCTGAAACTGTTATGACAGGAAGTGAAAATGCTCTTTTATGTATGTTTGAGGAGCAAGAAGAAGTGCAAATTATGTGGAAAAGAATAATATTGCAATTCATGGTAATGTCTTTACTGAATATAAAATTGGACTTTGAAGTTCAGAGAAATGAAATCACAAAAGAAAACGTAACAAAAGCTAATGAACTACTTCATGAAATTGATAAAAGCAGCCAAAATATTGAAAAGAGACGTCAAATGATAAAGAGTCTGTGTTATGGGGTAGTTTGTGAGATGCAAGGCGATCTGGACAGCGCTCTAGTCTATGTTGATGAAGCACTAGACACAGCAAAGGACGGAGGCTGTTTCCATAGCAATGAGCTGCACAATATTGAAGAATATCATGATTATCTTTCAGCTCAGACATCTAGAAAATCTCTGTTATATGAAAGATCACAAAAGTAATCAACTGAAACTGATATTGGCCTTTTAAATATGATACTAGTATGATTGAACAAATGATGCTCTTTTAGTCAATTGGAGGATTCAGATGGAACTTATTATAGTTTACGTCTTTCCAAACTTCATTTCAAAAAACAGACAGTCAAATGGAACTTATAAGAGACATAAGGAGCTAATGATGGTCTTATTGGAGTTAATGATTTTTGTGAGGTTCTATAGAAATTATGTACCATAGGTTATCTTTATTTTATGCTTTTGAGTGGATTACTGATTTTTCCATGAAAATTATATTTGATAATTTCGCAGTGAAAAATTATCAAAATATAATTTCACACTTTTCAATGAAGAGGTTACTTTTTTAAGATTTTCCCCATGTGGTAGGTACCTCAATTTCATTTTTGCTTTGAAGTGGCTTCTAGAATGTTTACTCATCTGTCGACAATTATTGAGACTATTGTCTTAACAATCCTCAAATAAGTTTTCTTTTATATGAGTGTATGTAGAATTAACAAATCCAAATGAAATCCCTCTGAATCAATTTCCTCCTTAACACAACTTTAAAAATTGCGGTCGCATACATTTCAAAGGCCAATCTAATATAAACTTCTGCGGAAATAGACAGAAAAAGCTTGGCTTGGTGTAACTTTTTCTTCTCTTAGAAATGTTTGTTTTAATTATTAAAACAAGCAATCATTCATTTTTTTTACAAAAAATATCATCACCATTTAACGTTGATTTTTGGACTCAGTTGATATTGAGGAAATTTCATTTAAACTTGTTTTTAAGCATAACAGAAAAAGAAAAATTTGTTTGTATTTTTGTGTAAGATGTATTTTTTCCATACTACACCACTCACGAGAATACTGTTTTTAAAGCTCACTTTAAAAAAAAAATCATTATATATTATTTAGAACTATCATTGTCACCAAAGTAGTTAATGAGGACCATAAAAGTACAGCTGAAATGTAACAAGACCAAGTATGTAAATGACATCAATAGAACTGATAAAATGCTATGTCAAAAGTAAGTTGTTCAGCTTTTTGTGTATTTGATACTACTATGTGTAATAATACATTTATATGTACATGTATTTTCTTAGTATGTAATTTGGAAACTTATTATATATTTTTTTTAAGCTAAGTTGATTTTTCTCTGGAAAAAAACCCAAAACAACAGTTAAAGAGTCATGCTTTTAAATATTTAGTTTATTCATATCCAAATATTAGTTATATCATATTTAATTACTCACTCCATATATACATGTAGTGATTAAACTGTACAATGTAAATATTAAACATTAACAGACTTGACTACATACTTCCTGTTAAACAGACATGTATTATTGCACTTCCTGTTAAACAGATCAGTTTTATGTTAAAAGTAATCTTATCTCTCCTTTACTGAGAAAAATGTAAATTTGTTTGTTAACGTTGCAGACACATCAAACATTTTCTTAAGATTAAAGGCACTGGACCGTTTTCATGAGAATTTATTTTCAGGGGCTAAGGGATTACAGATAAAAACCAACTTTTAACACTAATAAAATATGTTTTATTACTTTTCATTATTAAAAGTATAATACAATAATTTCAGGTAATTAAACCAATTGTACATGGTACAATGTTGTCACTTTTTAAACTATTGTTTAAATGTTATTGCATTTTAAAATTGCATACATACATGTACAAAATGGCTGTCCAACAATATATGTTTGAGCTTCTTTTATTAAATGGGGGTTGGGGTATACTCTTTTTAACAGGATTTTATGACAGAATATATGATTTTTTATGATGTTTTACAGCATTTAGATAAGAAGCACTGCTTGTTGGTTGCAACCATTTTTAACCCTCGCCTAACCCTCCACGCCTCAACGTTCACCTACAAATGTCAAGGTGAGAAAAACCTCTGACTACCTTACTATGGCTTCACTGAGCTATCCAGTAGCTTACACATTTTCTCCACTAATTAGTATACAGTTATGACTGTGACATCACTATGTAACATTAGTTTTATAAGATATGATATTTAATTATAATAAATGTAGTGTATTTTCTTTAATGTTTTGTTAATAAAAATAGCCTACTCTCATTAATAAGCTAATTATGTTATTTTCCCTTATTAACTGTTTTAATACATGCATTTGCTCTCTATAAAGTATAAACTGATATTTATAAAGAACTTATAATGATTTATGTTTTACATTCCCTTAATTACTCTGTGTATGCCTTTTGTAGGCCCATAAAAGGGGGTCTGGTTAGCCCCCCAGAAGCCGAAAACAAGTGCAGATTGAAATGCACGTTCCGGAGTATTTCCAAGGAAATAATCAAACCAATTAGTTTAAATTATGACTTTGATTCAATGTAAGCTTTACTGAGGACAGTATATCATGCACATGTCTAAAACACACTTAATTCGACCATAAGACTTGAACTCACTACCAGCATTTTTATTGTTTTGTTTTTTTTGACTTGTGAAAATGTCAATTTCTTGACTTACTTGTAGGGACGGGCATACATGGCCTACATGTAATAGTAGCTATGCCACTGAGGTTTACAATACTATAGGGTGTAGTCCATACAGGATGTCTTCTCAAGCATTATAGGAAATTCAACAATTATTAAAGGCCCATTAAGCCTCAGAAATGCTTTCATTTTTATTTTTCAAAAGATTACTAATTTTGGTGTCTTATTTAAGTTTACAAAATGTCATTCGTTGGCCATATAGAGGAGACTTCTTTCGCTTTATAAGCGTTTTAGCAATGAATGGATACAGCTTTAGTGATTTAGTATTTTGTATGGAAGTCAAAATACTACTTTGTTTACATTTTGCTATTTTTATGACAAATAATTTCACTTTCAGGACTACTTTGCTCAGGTGATAAACATTTAAGATTCTCTTAATCCATTTTTTAAATGTTACAAAACTCATTTTGGCCTTTTCTAGAGAAGGAAAAAGAATATTCATTTCTGAGGCATAATAGGCCTTTAAGACTCACCATGCTTTTGATCCAGTAATTCCATTTTCACTAATACATCAGACCTCATTTTTGCGAACTTCACCCTTGCATCTTGTCTACATCGTAAAACCAGTCTGCAAAAATGGTAGAAGAAAATAAAATAAAACCAGTCTAATAACAATAGTAACCACAATAACAGAAAATAATATAAAACCAGATGAAAATAACAACAGAAAATAACATAATACCTATAAAAGAAAAAAGAAGAAAACCAGTCGGAAAAATTATAACTGAAAATAATGGAAAACAAGTCTGAAATTGATAACAGAACATAAGCAAGATAGCATTAAACCAGTCTTAAAGGGTATAAATCTGTATCTTATGAAATGTTTTTATAAAATTTATCAACAGTAAAATTATAATGGTTCCATTATGATATGGTTGATTTCCGAAAAAGTTGTAACGTAGAATGTCTCCATTATTTAACACACATGAATAATGTATGTAAATAGAATAAAATGTTCTGGGACAAAATATTATTTTGCTATTTAAAGTAGGGTTTTATCCGTTTACCAATGATTTTGTGCATGCGTCATTCGCTTTTAAGGTGATTAACTACCATTTTTACTTCCTACAAGCTGTTTGGAAAGCATTCTTTTTTAAAAAATTCAAACAATAAATTTTGCAGTAGATATATAGCTTTTATACACTTTAACAAATTTGTTCTTTTTGTTTTGAAAAAAAAGCCTTTTATGAAAAATAGCTTGTGGCTATGTTAGGGTGATTTACTGCCACTAAACACAAGTGGCTTCTACCTTTATATTTTTTTGCAGTTTTCTGTGGTTTAACCCTAATAAATTGACAATCTTATCAGCATATTTGACAAGAATATCTGTCTATATGATCCCTATTTTAATACACAAATTATACACAAGCCAAAACCTGCTTATCTATAACATTGGGGAAAAAAATCAGAATTTTGACTAGAAGTATTGCATGATGCATCATGTCTAATTTTGGTCATGATTAATAGCAAAATCATTCACTATCATTTTCACCAAATCATAAATGGTTGTGCAGATACGAGGAACAGAAAGCAAATAAAAAAAAAGTTAAATAAGATCAAACATCGCTAAGGCGCTTATCCCTATTCCTCCTTAGGATAATACTGTTATCTGAACTCAAATGAAAATGCATTTCATGTTTACATATCTTAAGCCTTATAAATTTGCATGTAGCATGTACTGCACTATTGCAATCTGGCTTGTCTTTTAATATTAGTCCTCTTTAGTTAAAAACAATGACACCCCTGGGGCAGGGCCAGTTTTGACCCCCGGGCTTTTATTTGAACAAACTTTGTAGATATTTACTAAAAGATGTTTCATAGTTAATATCTAAACTCTAGCTATTTGGGTTTTTTCAAAGAAGATTTTTAAGTTTTTGCTTTACACAAAAAAGGAAAATCAATGACCCCCGGGGCAGGGCCAATTTTGACCCCGGGGATTTTATTTGAACAAACTTTGTAGACACTGATTAGAAGATGTTTCATGCTTTATATCTAAACTCTAGCTATATGGGTTTTTTCAAAGAAGATTTTTAAGTTTTTGCCATACACATATAAGGAAAATCAATGACCCCAAAGGCGGGACCAATTTTGACCAAAGGGCTTTTATTTGAACAAATTTGGTAGACACCCATTAGAACATGTTTCATGCTAAATATCTTAGCTCTAGCTCTTTGAGTTCTTTAAAAGAAGATTTTTTAAGTTTTTACTTTATGCATATAGGGAAAATCAATTACCCCCTGGGGCGGAACCAATTTTGACCCCAGGACTTTTATTTGAACAAACTTGGTAGACACTCACTAAAAGATGTTTCATTCCAAATATCTTAGCTCTAGCTCTTTGGGTTCTTTAAAAGAAGATTTTTTAAGTTTTTACTATATGCATATAGGGAAAATCAATGACCCCCTGGGGCGGGGCCAATTTTGACCCCAGGGCTTTTATTTGAACAAACTTGGTAGACACTCACTAGAAGATGTTTCATGCAAAATATCTAAGCTCTAGCTCTTAGGGTTGTTTAAAAGAAGATATTTAAAGATTTTCCTTTCGGTTGCCATGGCAACCAGAGTTCTGCATGGAATTAAATTCTTTGAACAATTTTTAAAGGTGACCACCAAAGGAACATTCCTGTGAAGTTTGGATGAAATTGGCTCAGTGCTTTATGAGGAGATGTCATTTAAAGCAAAAGTTTACGGACGGCCGGACGCCGGCCGGACGTCCGGCAAAAAGCGATCACAAAAGCTCACCCTGTCACTTTGTGACAGGTGAGCTAAAAACCCCAGAAATTAACATTTCGTCACTATAGTTCAGTAACGGGTTATGTCCTAAATTTAATAGCAGTTAACTAGTTATTGCACTAAAGTGACGATTAATTATATACTTACCCTGAGATATGCTTTCATGTAATAGAATACAAATGAGCCGCGTCACGACAAAACTAACATAGTGCGTTTGCGACCAGCATTGATCAAGACCAGCCTGCGCATCCGCGCAGTCTGATCAGGATCCATGCTGTTCGCTTACAAAACCTATTACAAGTAGAGAAACTGATAGCGAACAGCATGGATCCTAATCAGACTGCGCAGATGCGCAGGCTGGTCTGGATCCATGCTGGCCGCAAACCCACTATGTTAGTTTTGTCATGATGTGGCTCAATACAACAAACATTCTTCATGCCACTCTTGTATTCATAGTTTCCAGTTCCCAACTTTAATCAAGGTTTTTTACTGACTTGTATTCATAATTTACAGTTCCTACCCTTTACCATGTATTTTTTACTCACCTATATTCATAGTTACCAGTTTCCACCCTGTACAACGGTTCCTGCAGGGCAGCGTAACTGTACTCCTCATCATCCATCTCCTTTACCTTCAAGCAGTAAGACTGAAAACAAATATGTACCTTGCACAGGGTGTGATTTTTCTTAATTCTTACCATCAACAGTACAATACACATTACAGTTTGTTTATAAAAGCCTTTTCAAATACTTCATAGCTGAAAGAATTAACAGCCAATGGGAATTCTCCGTCGCGAACTGAAATATAAAAGGGTCACTACCCCAAATGTATAACCAAAACACTGTTCTGTTAGCATGATTGGTAGAGCTTTTAAGACTGTGAATCATGCACCCTAGATTTGATTCCAGGATGGTGCAGGTCACTTTTGTTGTGATAGATCATGAAATCTTTTCTATGTCATTCGCACTGTACCTTTGCTCTGACATGTACAGAAGTATATCAGTTCCTTTTGAAAGTGAAAGCACTAGTACTGGTTAACTGCTTGGCAGCCTGGCCAGGAAGGTTGAAATGGCTGAAATGTGCTATGGTAAACTGCCATGATCATGAGAGTATACTTCTAAAAACACCACCACAACAACCATGAGAAAAATAAATTTCTTCATTAGAAAAATATTTGGAGTTTTAAAATATATTTACAATCTAAGTACAACTGGGAATGTTTCATGGCATAAGATTAGAGTTACTATTTTAACAGCATATTCTGACCCAAATAAAATAAAGCAAGGCAACATTGCTGCATATTATGTCTCATTACATGTAATTCCTCGTAAGTGTCCGAGTCAATATTAGTAAACTTGACAAGAATTTCCTTTAAAAAAGAAATTTTTCATTTTCTATTTTCATGAAAATTAATATGCATTTGAAGGCAATGCTTCTTTAATACATTTTAGATTCATAAATAAGTTAAAGTTGTATAATGACCATATAAAATGCTTTGCTAAATTAAAATCATTAAGACCTTCATAAGCAACATCTTAAGTATGAAAATAACAGCCGAAGCTCGTGTCTCACTTTATTTAATTCACTACAGCCAGAGCTGTTGTTTGATTTAATTCACTTACCAGGTATTCAAACTTGGCGTCCAAATATTTCTTTATTGTAAGTCTTGTATCAGGTACAGCTTTGTTTAGAAATGTATTTAAATCACTGATCATCTGAAAAATAGAAATACTCCCTATACTGATAAACATAATGAAATAAACACTTCACATCTTTATAATAAAGGAGAGGATAATTTATCAATTTTCTGTGATTGCTGGATTGTGTCAAGAGCTGCACCCTGTGAACATTACCTTTGCCTTCTTGATCTCTATTCTCCTTTTTAATTATTAGAATTTAATGCCATCAAATGATTAAAAGTAACTTTCCAGCTTTACTGGTGGAGGATAACATCAGGTGTCCTTTTGTGCTTTATTTCCAGCACAATCAGGTACCTGAGTAAAACCATTTTACAATGACTTTCCGTAAGCTAGATGGGGAGCTTCCCCACATGAAAAAAACAAAACAACAAAAACAACACCACACAGCAGTGAGAGGCAAGCAATTTGAAGTCAATGATTTAAACCACTTGTCCAATAATCTTGTTTAGTTCATCTTAGGTGTGAATAGAGATATCTGGCCCAAGCATAACCATTAGCATTTGTATCATAGTTTGGAGACTTTACTATTGAAAATATGTCAGAGCTGATTCCTATACCAGAACATGCTCAGTGTGTTAACTGGAGTGCAGGTGTTAGTTACCCGCACTCACTGTCTGTCTAGAGATTGCTCATTGATTGGCTCATATTTTGAAGGGTTTACTTATTGCAACGACAGGGAAAGAGATAACGACAGAAATGTCATATTCAGATGCTCATACATTGGTTACTCTTTTTCTGGTGTTTAATATTGTGACAACAAGGAATGAGTTTTTAGTTTTGCCTATGATACAAAAGTGAAAGAACATCAAAACACTTGGCAATCTGATTTATACTCTGGGGCTATGCCCCCTCATACAAATCAGACAGCCTCTTGTTTTGATGCTCTTTCTATTGCTTAAAAGACTTGCAAAGTAATCATGACCTATTACCAAACTGTAAAGAAGAATGACATGACCCCATGGCAACAGTAATCAAGAGCTTATTCTCTACCATTGCAATGTTACTATGTCAACAGTTATCATAAACATATGAGCCGCGTCACAACAAAACCAATATAGTGTGTTTGCGACCAGCATGGATCCAGACCAGCTTGCAAATCCATACAGTCAGAGCAGGATCCATGCTGTTCCCTATCAGTTTCTCTACTTGTAATAGGGTTGGTAAGGGAACAGCATGGATCCTGATCAGACTACATGCTGGTCGCAAACGCACTATGTTAGTTTTGTTGTGACGCGGCTCATATTACTTTTGATAATATGATGGTCGATGATAAGGAACATAATGACATTTGAAGAAAAAAATTCCTCAAGAAATTATGAAGAAAGAGCGAAAAAAATAGGTTACTGTACATACATTTTATTCAGGAATTGGTATGTGGACGCCAATGCCAGGTGAGTAGGACATTTATCCATACACAAAAAGTAAAGTGCAGCTTAAAATGAAATACAGAGTTGAACTTACAGGTTTGACAGTTTTCAGCATTTTGATGGCAAATCTTTCCATGTCCCTGTGTGCTTCACCAAACTTTGAGAAAGCCTCACTTGCAGCCGGCTGGGGTTCACGAACACCTATACTACTGAACACATCACCAAATGCTGTAATATAGAACACATCTTTTAATTACACTGATTATGTTTTGTTAATTGGTTTATTGTGTTAAGTTTATTGCAAATTAATAATGTATTATTCTTAACCTGGCAGGCAAGTACATGTACCTGACATGACTTAATGTTCCTGGAAAACCTGTATTCTGTACTGACCAGTTTTTGTAAGCATTACTGCCAAAATCTCCCCACATAGAGTCCATATCAGCCAATAATTAACTACAAAGTTATGTATGAAATAAACTCTTTTTTTTAAATGTAAACTTGCATCATTCCAGGTTTATCAATGTTATATTGAGGTATATTGTTATATCTGATAAACCAAAATTAATAATGTAATGATTCTAGTTTACTGGGTACTACAGTATTATTGAAAAGGGGAAGTAACTTACATATGCTTTCTTGCATAAGGAGAAGTGAAAGTATGTTAAAAATCTCCCTTATCCAGGACACACTATATTTTATGCTAATTACATTTATCACTGAAATACTCGGCTGTTACAATGAAATATTAGTTATATCACTCACAGAGTGTATCTCTACAACTTGTAAACATAGCATTTATTTTAAAATATCTCATAAATTATGGAAGGAAACCTTTTCATTTTTCGTGACTTATAATGCTACTTCAATGAAAACAAGTTTATCATTTCACAAGCCATTATGTGTTTGAGAATATTGTATATGCCTGAACTCTCAGTGAGATTTAATTCATAATACGAACTAATAATAAAGTTTATATTCAATCTTGTTTATCAAATGGCTTAATATTCAATATTATGATGATAGTTTTATAATGGATCAGTCATGGATAACAAGGCTTCTGATAGTAGAAGTTTTGTAGTCATTTACTCATTGATTTAGGCTTGTGACTTCCAAAATGTAATGCTTTTTCTTCATTACCTATAAAATGAGACATCCAAGTCGTAGATTTTGCGGTCTCTGACCTCTGAATTCTGGAACTTTATGGAAGCCCTGAGGCAAGTGTATTTTGACTGGGTGGGGTATAATGTAAATATGCAAATGATTTTTTTTTGTTTCAATGAAGTATTCGAATAAAATTCAGTAATGTGGTCACTGCTACACACAAATAAAGTTGCGTGAAATCATTACATTAACAGTTAATCCTTAACCTGCTAAACTGCTTCGAATTTGGAACAGTTTATTCCAAATTTCAGTATCAAAATGCAAAAAAATGAGCTACTAACAGTATAGGGCCTGGTCAGACTGCCCAAAGTCTGCCTCTATACTGGTGGAAAAGATTAATAACTTTAGGTTTCAGTCGGTTAAGGGTAAATGAGTTCAATACCTTTGTGTGATTGAGACAGCTCGAATGTACACTTGAGAAGTTTCTTGGTATGCTCTATAAGACCTTTATATGTTTCTGCTGTCCTTTCTAATTCCTGAAGCTTCTTCACTAAACCATCTGCAAAATTAATAAAACAGTATATAAATCAACCATCATATATTCTGCATCTTGGTCAAGATCCATCGTGTAATGTTTGTTTGATTTAACACCAATCTTAACACATTCTTGGTCATATCTTGGTATTCAGTTCACCTAAGCGACTTTCTTCAATAACTTACCAGTAATAAACAACTTCTCCACAACTGACCAACAACTATTATCCCACATGATAGGAATCAGTAGTGAGAGACAAATGAGCCACGCCATGACAAAACCAATGTAATGCGTTTGCGACCAGCATGGATCCAGTACAGCCTGCGCCTCCGTGCAGTCTGATCAGGATCAATGCTGTTCGCTTACCAACTCTATTACAAGTAGCGAAACTTATAGCGAACAGCACGGATCCTGATCAGACTGCATGGATTTGCAAGCTGGTCTGGATCCATGCTGGTTGCAAACCCATTATGTTGGTTTTGTCATGACGCGGCTCAAATGTCTGAGATCAATAGATGTTTTCCGGAACTCGTCAAATGTGGGTTTTTCCAAGCTTATTACCCAGTACAAACAAATTTTTACCATTATAGCTTCATGGTGCACTATCAGTCACTATAGATCCATAGTCAACCTGTTGCCCTTATTTTTGAAGCTGTAACTGTAAAAGTTTGGTACCCCCAGATTAGCTGGGAAAAACCAGAAATGAAAGTAAAGAAATTACCAAAAGTAGTCAGGTGGCCAATAACATGCTGCAATCGATTTTACCCTGTTACTGTGACATTATGAAATGTTTTATGGAAAATATAATTAAAACTCAGAAATCTCCGTCTGAAAAAATGTTTTTAAGTGAAACTTCCGGCTGTAATAAATTGTATTAAGATAATTTAATCTTTGAACTTTGACTTAAGAGAAGTGCATTTACAATGATTGCCAGTTTTCAACAAGTCACGATGTGCACTTATTTGCTCTTCTAGTATTCTTTGATATTTTTTTTCTTCAAAGCATGCACCATTACATCAATTGTGGAGAATCAAAGACTGCCAAAATACATGCAAACAGTAGTATCAAACGGAAACGGTCGACTTTGATATACATATGAGCTGTGTCACGACAAAACCAACATAATGGGTTTGCGACCAGCATGGATCCAGACCAGCCTGCGCATCCACGCAGTCTGATCAGGATCAATGCTGTTCGCTATCAGTTTCTCTACTTGTTAAAGAGTTTGTAAGCGAACAGCATGGATCCTGATCAGACTGCGCGGATGCGCAGGCTGGTCTGGATCCATTCTGGTCGCAAAAGCACTATGTTGGTTTTGTCGAGACACGGCTCATATAGTGATTCTTATCCCTAATTAAACCATTTGAAAACAAACTAATGGTATTACCATTGCATAATATGGCTCTTGAAAGCCCTAAAGCATCAGCTGTATTGGAGTTCATAGACTCGACCACGCGGTGTTTTGCTTTCTTAAGAACTGAAATAAAAAAAAAATTTTTTTATATAATTACATATATACACAAATGTATAATTTTCAAAATGTATACTGTCCAGGTAAAATTATGACAAGTTTTGTTTATTTTAATCGGATATATCTTCTGCTAGTGCAAGATAAATAATATCTGTCATAAGTTGAACTTGCAGTTCGGATCGGATTATCTGTCCCGAGGGGACTCGCCCATTGGGAGGTAACTAGGCTTTCCGATCCGAAACGCAAACACATATCAGATTTTTTTTTCTTGCATCATCTACCATATTCTTTTATATTTTAAAAACTTTACCTTAATAAAAACAAATTTCCATGGAAATTTAGGTCATTACACCCGTACCTATTTCTCTTACAAAAGCATATGAAAATTACAACTTAATTCATAACCGTAAAATTACGTCTTCTTAAACATGCCATTGTATGGCACGTGACTCATCTGGCACCCTCCATGCCAGATCAGATTTCCAGCATGAGTAAAACTGACGGAAAATGCCAGTCTGATATGCAAGAAATGCATGGATATCTTAACCCGGTAATGGCAACCAGATTTCATCCATGTGCCAAGCGCAGACTAAGATCAGCCAGCTTTTCCGTGTCTTCTGCGCTGTTTATTATATAGTCAGTAATAATTTTGAAATTTTACGGATTTCCTGTTTTGTTCAGATTTGTCCAGACGGACAAGTCCATTTAATAAATTAAGAGTTGTACAGGCGGATAAATCGTTTGAAACAGATTTATAAATAGAGTGGTACAGATACAAATCTTGGATTACTTTTATAGGTGATAATGACTTTCCTACCAAAGGCCAGCCTGCACATGCCAGCATTTTTACATGACTTTAAACAGATGATGCCTCAGTTTGAGTATTTTTATAATGAAATCGCAGTCTGGACTCAGATGGAAACTACAGTATTGGAGTAGCATCAGTCAGTAAGAGTGAATCAGCTTTAAGAACTGCTATAGCTAATGTGTATTTTGTCTTGAAACAGGACCTCCCTACCTCACTATCAGCTTTAAAGGATAAAGTGTCCATATTTTTTATGCTAAGTATCCATTTAAAATAAAATTTAAATGTGCTTATTTATAATTATCTTTTTTTAGATTATAAAATAGTTGTAGAAAATATATAAATAAATGTTTGTTTTCACAATAATATAACCTGTATAAATTCTTATCAGGCATGTCTCCTAACACAATTACTGGCTCCATTTTTGGAGACATTTAGACAAATTCTTAGCCAGCTCAAACTAAAACTGACCCAGAAGGAACCCAGTCTATTTAAATCACTATTAGACTTTTCCTAATTCAAAGCAAGTCAATTCCTTTACAAGAATTCACCTTGACAAGTCTTTACTCTGTGTTTTACAGGATTTTAACAAGAAAAGTAATTAACACTGTGAATCAACCTATCCTACAGGGTGATTTGACGAATATCTCTTATATATGACGTCACCTAACTACATGATACCAAAAGACTTCCATTAAATCTCTGTCTATGTAAATACTAGCAAGGAAATATACTCCAGCAAGACAGAATAGAAATAGATTTCAAGTTTTAAAGCATAATTGATCATTTTAATATGTTTCACTGGTTTATATTATAGCTACTATGCAGTTCAGCTTAAGCAACATGATAATCTTGTATAAATGTAGACATAAGTAATGTTGTTAATTAAATTTAAATGCCTTTAAACAACAATGCTTTCAAATTCAAACAATCTTTATTCCTTCTTAACATTATTAGAGAATTTGAATTTAAACCTTATGAAAATATATGTGGCAGAGATTTAATTTAATTAATGTGGCAGCAAAATAATTTCCATTACATTGATGACATTGATTACATTGACGAAATATCACAAATTAATTTCCTGTTTTAAAATCAGGCAAATATCATTGGAATCATTAACTCCAGGCCCTAGCTATAGTCTTATTTTGTCTTAGATTGTCTAATTTTGCATGGTCTTTTGTTCAGTCACTTTTATGATAAATCAATAGCAAATATGAGCTTAACATGAACTGATTACAGAATTCTAATCAAAGTTTTGTATTAGAGCAAACTTTCTGATAAGATAGGCTTACAGATGTAACAGACCTTTTTCGGTTAAGTTCCAAACATAAATGTTCCTTGTAGTAATATTGGACAATGTCCCTTATAATAATAATAGACTATGTCCCTTGCAGTAATATTGGACAATGTCCCTTGTAATAATAATGGACTATGTCCCTTGTAGTAATACTGGACTATGTCCCTAGTAGTAATATTGGACAATGTCCCATATAATTATAATAGACTATGTCCCTTGTAGTAATATTGGACTATGTCCCTTGTAATAATAATGGACAATGTCCCTTGTAGTAATATTGGACTATGTCCCTTGTAGTAATATTGGACTATGTCCAACAATATTGGACTATGTCCCTTGTAGTAATATTGGACTATGTACATTGTAGTAATATTGCACAATTTCCCTTACAGTAATATTTGAACATATCTGGGACTCCCTTGTAATAATATTGGACTATGTCCCTTACAGTAATATTGAATTATATCCCTTACAATAATATTGGACTATGTCTCTTACAATAATATTGGACTTATCCAAATCCAAAACAGGGCAAGTTATTTTACAAAAGCAGAAGGGTAAATGTTAAAGATGTGTATCTGTGTAAAAACATTATCATTATCTTACCAATGTCAAGAGATTTTCCTTGTTTTGGATCAGCATGGAGTTTGTTGTAGTTTATACTGACATCACCCTATGAAGAATAAATGTTACATAAATACAAAGGAAGTAATTGAAATAGTTCATGAAATAGTAATGAAATTTTCATTTAGAATTTTTAAATATGCACAAAAATGTGTAAACTATTTTGATCAATTTAATTTTGTCTCCAAGCATAATACATGTGTATTTTGCTATTTACATTAGGTTAGTGAGGAAATGAGATACTGACATTTTGTATGCCTGAAACTAGTAAAATAAATTATGTTTTATAACTTTTGTAAATACATGTATTTACATAGGGAAAATATCATGCATTCACCCAACATTCACATCTTTAGAAAACATGCAACAGGATTGCGGTATCAAATTTCAATAGAATGTTTAAGTGAGAATGTTTGTAAAATAAAGCTACGGAGTAAAATTCTGTTTAGTATGAAATACATAAACATTAACCCTAACTGGGCAGCAGCTAGTTAGTGGTCAAGTTGTCCACCTCTAACCCATGGACTTGTGGTGTTGAACCCTTACTTTTGCCAGTAAAACGAAGTAATTATTCCTCGATGGCACAGTACTCGGCATTAGTCTCTGGACAGAGCAATTGTCTGGACTTAACCCTAATAGCGTGTTGTAATTTGTCACAATGACTCTTTACTTTCAATATGAAACAATCCATTCAAAGTTTAAGGGATTTTATTTACAAAATAAAAAAATACAACTATCAGCCTGGCCAGATTGCACAAATGTGAAGTTTGGTCTGCCTTATACAACTGGCAAAGGTTTACCACTTTAAATTTGATTCCTGCAGGTTAAGTGTTAATATTAATTGCAAAAACTTTTTTCACAATTGAGCTTAAATAAAGTTGTAAATGCTTCTTTCTGATGTTGCTGTATAATGTTTCAAATTACAAACTTACAAAGCATAAACAATTTAAGAGTTATGTAAGGAGATACAGCATTAGTTCTCAAACATGTACCTTAATAGACTGTATCATACGAGCAACCTCCACCTTGGTTCTGCCCTTCACTGATTGACCATTAACACCAACAAGCTCATCACCTGACTGTAAGGTACCCTCCTTGGCAGCAGGGGTGTTGTCAAAAATCTGAACAACATATAGGCATGGACAAAGGGGAGCTCCGCCCCCAATACTGATCCCAATCAAGTTCTTTTCATCCTTTGTTAGTGCCACACTCCCCGACGTCACTGTCATCCCCCTAGAACAAGAAAAACAAGCAATTATCATAGTATTGCAAGCAATCCATAAGTCCCCTACCGGTAAGAGCCCAAGCAACATTCTGAAGGGCCATTGGCCATTCACTTAGGTTCCTATTTTAAGTAAATTTGTTGAAAAAGTTCTTTAAAAATGATCACAGGAAACAGTTTTTATGTACCGACAGACGGACTGAAGGACACTCTAAAGTTATTTTTTAAACATCCCTGTTATCAATATATAACATTTTTAAAATCCTATCATGATTGAAGAAGTTGGAGTAAAAATTACCAATTTCTCAAAAAAAAGTCTAAGTTCAAAAGGGGCATAATTCTGGAAATAGTCTTGCTAGAGTATTGAACACTCACAAATGTTGAGTGACAATAAGAAACATGTATATGAAGTTTGAAGTAGATACATTCAGAAAAAGAAGTTATTAAAAAAAACAGTTATTAAAAAAAAACAATGTTTTTTTCATGAAAATTTTAAGTTCAAGGGAGGTAATTCTGATAAATTTTGTGCTAGAGTTGTAAACCTTGTCACATATGATGTGGTTGATGACAAGCAACTTATATTTAAAGTTTGAAGAAAATACCTTAAGAAATAAAGAACTTATAGTGTAAAAACTTAAAAACTAGAATCAGAAATCTTGAAATTCAGTCTATTTGTTGCCATAGCAACCAGAATTTTCAACATAGGAAGATAAAAAAAAATGTGCATAATTTCCATACTGCCATCTACCCATATGTCAAGTTTCATAAACATATTTTCAGTACTTTTTGTGTTATCACTGGATCCAGGTTATGTGTAAAATTTGCCATATTTTTAGTCTATTTGTTGCCATAGCAACCAGAATTTTCAACATAGGAAGAAAAGAAAAAAACGTGCATAATCTCCATACTGCCATCTATCCATATATCAAGTTTCATAAAAATATTTTCAGTACTTTTTGCGTTATCGCGGGATCCAGGTTATGTGTAAAATTTGCCATATTTTCAGTCTATTTGTTGCCATAGCAACCAGAATTTTCAACATAGAAGGAAAAGAAAAAGACGTGCATAATCTCCATACTGCCATCTATCCATATATCAAGTTTCATTAAAATATCTTCAGTACTTTTTGCGTTATCGCGGGATCCAGTTTTGTGGACGGACGGACTGACGGACGGACAGACGGACTGACGGACGGACGGACAGACGGACAGACGGACGGAGGGTAAACCTAAAGTCCCATCCGGTAAACCGGTAGGGGACTAATAACAAAATGTTTGTTATTTGTATGTTTAACGCATTAAAGTGTTAAAACTGACAGTTTTAATAAGAATTTGTTTGATTTGTTGAGTTTAAAGTCACACCTGCATTGTGAAGGTGACCGACAAATGGTTATTTTCCAGCCTTACTGGTGGACAGACCTTGGGTGCTCTAGCTGTCTTGCATAATTTCGGACACGAAGGTGCCATGCTTTCTTATATGAATTAGTCTACACTTCCTCACAAGAATCAAACCAACAGTGGTGAGGGGCTAAGTGATCTAAAATAAGTATCCTTAACCTGAATGACAAGCTCGACCATGGACACAGGGTTTTCATACTTATCTGAAGCAACAGATGTGCCAACGAAAACAACCAATTTGGCTTTGGGTCAAGGGGGATATTTTAAACTCCAGACTGAAAATACAACCAATTTCAACCAATGATATGGATCACCAATCTGTTGAAAATGAAAACCTAGGGACACCCCAAATATTTTGTTATCGGGTGTTATTAAGTCACAATAATACTTTGAGGTCATTGTGCGACTTTCCAGCTTTCCTGGTGGAGGATGACTTCAGATGACAATTAAACCTTTGAGCATTGTTTCAGGCACACCAGTGGAAGCTAAGTAGAACAACATGGCAACCATCTGTAAGCTGGATGGATAATATTCAACTATTAAAGAATTAAAAATCCTGGTGGGATTCAAACCAACAGCAGTAAAGTGCCAGTGGTTTTAAAGTCAGAGACCATAACACTTGGCTGTGGAGGCCCTAGGATGGCCTGACAATATACGAGCCAGTGATTTTCTTTCCAATTTTCAAAACAACAGGCTGTGGCTTTCTGAAGGGGAAAATATAGCGCTATAAATCAGAAAAGGGGAAAATCAAATTCCAACAACTGAGAATAGAATTGACCCACACATTTTATAAAAAAATTAATTTCGATTCAATTTAACATGCATGGTACATAGCAGAGGCTATAGGGACAGCTTTCTGTCTTCTAGCTGATATAATAAGTCAGATGCTGTTAAGTAATGGTTCTGGTGAAGAAGTGCACAGGGCATAACAGGGGCAAATATTAGCTTTTTTAGGGGAAAATATACCTATTTTGAGCTAAGGGAAACAGCATTTATTCGACTGTAAAATACAGGGGAAAAAAATCTCTGCAAGCACATGTACTAGTACTTATTAACATGATAGAAAAAGAGTATGACACATCCATGTACCAAGATTATAACAGACTTTATCATGTAACTTGTTTTATTCCTCCCTCTATCATTTGTTCATAGCTTGATGGAAAGATCAGGAAGAACAAGATTGAATCATTCAAATTACACGTAATTTTTTATACATGTATTAATCTAATTTTACACCTTCATATAGTGTCTTTTGTTTTACTGTTTAAAATTTTATTGATGTAATTTAATAGCCATTTTATATCTGATTTCCAAGTCTTTATATATGGAAACAGACAATTTCATCACTTGGATTCCAAATGAACAGTAACAACTGTAACTGTGGTAATAGTAATCAATATTAAAACAGCAATGTACTCTTATACTGTGTAGGCTGGCAATAACATGTTTTTCAGCAAAAAAGAAAAAACAAGACAAAACATAATATGAGCCGCACCACGACAAAACCAACATGCGACCAGCATGGATCCAGACCAGCCTGCGCATCTGAGCAGTCTGATCAGGATCAATGCTGTTCGCTATCAGTTTATCTACTTGTAATAGAGTTGGTAAGCCAACAGCATGGATCCTGATCAGACTGCGCGGATGCACAGGCTGGTCTGGATCCGTGCTGGTCGCAAACGCACTATGTTGGTTTTGTTGTGGCGCGGCTCATATGAGGATGCAACATGAGAGTAACTTCATAAACATTAATATCACAAAATTGTATGTAATAAGATCAATGAATATAATGTAAATTATGATTCAAGGTAACTTTCTTTTTCTCAAGGCATGCTTTTATATAAAAGTCTTTTGGCCATGTAAATGTACTTCTAACATACACAAATGGCTAAAGTGGCCTACTGTATATTGACAAATGACAGACATCAGACAAACACAAAAGCTCACTTCTGGACACATCGTGATTCCTGAAGCTATAAATAAACACAAAAATTACCATTCATTGGAAATGCCGTCAGCAATTATTTAAGTCTGAGATATTTACTTACAACACAATATAACTTATAAGCAATAATTTTCTGCACCAGACATGCAATTTTCTGTTGCTATTTCCAGTGGTAATTGGATTTAAATGGCTGTGATTGGTGGTATAATATATCAATATGGTTAGAGTTACTTGTTAACTTATTCAACAAACTAGAAAATGAACTGAAGTAAGACAAAAAAAGTGACACATTATGACATATATTATAGCAGACATGCATATATATTCAATGTTCTGCAAGAAAATTGTAACTTAAGAGAAAATACCAGGGGTCAAAACCAGTGCCTTACCTGCTTGAGAGAAAAATGCATGACTCCAGTAATTCAATCCCATTTAGTGTTTGAAATTATTTTTTGTCCAATAGGATTGCAGTATTTCAAATGAATTGCATCACATTTACTTTGGTAAATCGGGAAACTGTTAATCAGTCTAGTAAAATCGTCTGTTTATAAAAATAATTTAAAACACTAAGCCGGTTAAAATTTATAAGTACGCATTAACAAAATTAAATTGATCCCGCGGCTGTGCTGCACCTGACCAATTTAATTTTGTAAATACATACTTATAAACTTTAATATATACTCACCTCTAACCATCACACAGGGATTAACAGTGACAGATGTGATGAACACTAATTTTAACCTTTAACTAAACAAAATAGTCATGAGCACTAAATTTGTAATGTAATCATAATAGATGAGCACTAAATTTCATCCTAAATGGAGCTGTTTAAATAAACATGGTGAACACTAAACTTTAACTTTGGAGTAGCTGTACACAAAGTCACAGCGCTAACTTTTGATACTAAAATGTGATGCAGACATAAATGTATTTAAACTACATTGTTTGTTTGGGTTTTACGTCACACCGACACAGTATAGGCACATTTGGCGACGTTCCAGCTTTACTGGCGGAGGAAGACCTCAGGTGCCCTTCTGTGCATTATTTCAGGCACGAACGGGCACCTGAGTAAAACCACCTACGTTCTGTAAGCTAGCTGGATAGCTTCCTCACATGAAAGAATTCAAAGTCCCTGTCGGGATTCGAACCCACAGCGGTGAGGGGCAAGTGGTTTGAAGTCAACGACCTTAACCACTTGGACGCCCCTTTAATCTACATGTAATTTGGACTGTTAATGTTGGTAAGCACTAAAATTAGACCCATGAGATGTGAGACTAACAAAGTATCCTTAAAATTTGGACGCTGAAACTTGAAACATAGTGAACACAAAACTTTGACCTCGGAGCTGAACAAGTTAATAAAAACTTTGCAATAAAACCACTAAAATTATCTCCAATATCAATTTGCATATTTGAGTTACCAGTTACCATTTCAATTAAAATGTTCCATTCAATGTAATAAACTCATTTGCAGTTTCTGTTTCTATTTGAACACTTGATTATCATTTTCTTATTCATTGAATAAAAAATTATGAACAAGTAAACACTTCCCCAAAGACCGCAAAAAAATGCCGTAATCATACAAGTCATACAAGCAGTATGCATTATATATGCGAACACCGACAACTGTCACTGAAAATCACCTGAATACATATAAGCCGCGTCACGACAAAACCAACATAGTGCGTTTGCGACCAGCATGGATCCAGACCAGCCTGCCCATCGGCGCAGTCTGATCAGGATCCATGCTGTTCGCTTACAAACCCTATAACAAGTAGAGAAACTGATAGCAAACAGCAGGGAACCTGATCAGACTGCGCGGATGCGCAGGCTGGTCTGGATCCATGCTGGTCGCAAACCCATTATGTTGGTATTGTCATGACGCGGCTCATAATATGTCTACAATCCCTGACATGTTCAAACAAACAAAGAAAAACCTTCATGGCTTGAAAGATAACCAATGCTCACTTGAGATCTTCCCACGGTAGTTGTGAAAACTTGTTCTCGTCCAACCAGTACTCATCGAAATCTTCGTCAGGTACACTACTGTACTCATACTGATATTCCTCGTAACTCATAGTGACCACAATGTTTATCACTGTTTATCAACTTAATTTAAAAGCTTTTTCCAACATTTAAATCAGATATAAATTATCAAAGTTTCATCTATTAAGTTTGCAATTATTTTTATTGTATGTGCATCAAACAAACTGTTACAGCTTCATTCTAATTTCACACTCTAGCTTTTACAGATACAACTGTACATATATGTTATACAAAAAAATGTATTTAATTTCTGACTATTATGTACATGTAGGTTTAACCTAATTTCTTATCCTAACATGTAGGGTTTATCTAGATTTCTTACCATAATACATGTAGGTTATTCTTAATTTCTGACTTTTAACCGAATCTTTTTCAATTTTTGCCTCACTCTTACTTTTAGATTTGTCCTAATACTCTTTCTAACTTTTAGGTTTATCCTAATTTCTCACTTTAACTTTTAGGTTAATCATAATTTCCCACTCTTACTTTTGGGTTTACCCTATAATTTCTCAATGAAATTGTTTGGTTTATCCTAATTTCTCACACTTACTTGTAGATTTATTCTGATATTTCACTTTAACTTATAGGTTTATCATAATTTCACTTTAAAACTTTAGGTTTTTCTTACATTTAACCTATCACCTCCATGTTTATCACTTTCTTCCCATTCTAATTCTTACAGGTTTATTACTGTTCTTCAAAATAAACTAAGGTTTCTCAACCCTTATAAAGTTGTAGGTTGTAACTTCTTGTATCTTTTTAAATTCTATTTCAATTTCTAAAATGTTTATCTTCAAAATAAATATCATCAACAATTTACAGAGTCTGTCATTCTTTTGTCTACTTATTATAATAAACTTTTAAATTACAAAAATTATGTATATTTAGTAGCAGTATATTACATCTATTCAGTATATTTATCAATTAATTGCATAGTCATTAATCTTTAAGCAGATTAAGCCTTAAGAGATTAAATAAAAATAAATAAAAATCACTCCTGTGGTTTTTAGCAGCTTTTAAGTATGTTTATCAAATTTGTTTCTTTCATCACTTCATTTTATAGTTACATTGACCTTAATAATACTGAAGTATACTATTTTATCTAAAGTTTAACCTTTCCCCAACCAAAACATAAAATAAAAATAAAAAGATTACGCAAAAACTTTTTTTGGGATATTGCCTGTGTATATAATTATATATATATTATGTATGATCTACACAGAAATCAAGTTTTCTACATGAGCGCACATTCCTATATATCCTTCCTAAACGCTGTATTCAATATCTCTCTTATTCAAACACACACACATAATTTATTCCTTTCATATACAACACAGATTTAAATCTAAAATAAAAGTTTTAACCAAAATTGCAACCATAAAAAAATCTGCATCAAAAAGACCACAATAAAATACGGTCAATAACTGATTTAAAAGTGAAAACAATTAATCCAGGTTTATAAAATGATCTACAGCATGCCACGTCATGAAATGTGTATATAAACATCTGTTCCACTGGACATGTATTATAAACACCGTTATACATTGTATTCCCGACTTTCATACAACTAAGATAATTTTACTTATTTACGCTACAATTGTGGTGAATTAAATTGATGAAAATTTGATGTTTTCTGAAAAGTTTAAACAGTAGATTATAAGTGCATTTTTAATTTGTTATTTGTTTTTCTGAGTATTATCTTTTTCATCCATTTGATTTATGAACAGTACCTGGCTGTAGATATATTTTAATATTAAAATCTTGCATCTAAAGACCCATTATGCGGCTTTTATGCCTCAAAACTGCATTTATTTTTATCTTTTTAATTTTGGTGCTCTAAAAAGTTATACACTGGCCATACAGCCGAACCATATTTTGCATCTTCTGCATTTTAGCAATGTTCTGAAGCCATTATTATAACATAATAAACACATGTTAAATTTGTTTTTCTACTGAAAGGAAAAAAAACTCTGACGCATAATTATGTGCTTTTAAATAGTAAACATATTGTCATGCAAATAATGAAAGTACATATTTTGTAATTTAAGCCAATAAATGCACTTTTGATTAGTTACCTAATTTTATCTAAAGTTACTGTGTAGCTAAGCAGGAAACACAAAAATCATTAACTGGGCCAAAAGTCATTCAACCGGAAAACCCATGAAAGTACTTGAGGTACCGATCAATCCTGTAAAGTTTCATTGAAATTGTATTAGTGGTATAAGAAATGAACACAAAAATAAATTTTTTAAGTTTTAAAAAGAAACCCAAAGGTTGTAACACCTTTTTTTCACAATAAAATAAAATTCTTAAAAAAAGGAGTGAGTAAAAGTTTTAAAATTGTCACAAAAGTTGCCCTTCTTTTAATGGAAATTAATCTTGAAAAATTTTTTTTTTCCCCCACCATTCAAATTTTGGAAAAAAAAACCTCAGTGGAGTCCCTTTAAGCTTTGTTCACCAGTACCTGCTCCATCATAGGCGATGCGTTTTTTAAAGTGAAATAAAACATGATATAAATTTTAAATTGCCTACTTAAGAGTCCTGTTTTAATGTATTTCCCCTCAAGGCAATTTTCATCGAAACTATTAATAAACAAATACTTAATAAATATGTTTAACTAAACCATACTGCTTTTTACAGATAATAATGTACTTTAATTAACTGAAATCAATATAACCGGAGGCCAGATATAAACAATCTTTTTTTATCTAATTCTTTTTAGACACTTAGCAGAGGGAACTGAACTTTACCCCAGTAAAAGGGTCGAACCAGCATTAACAAGTCAATCATAATCACAATGTCAGCCCATAAAGGCACTTAGTCTTACTTTTTAAGTTTTTTCCCTACTTTTTTGTCCAAATTCCCTACTTTTTTTTCCAACGAGGACTAAATTTGAAAATTTCTGACAGTGTATTTCTGACAAACTGTCACCAATAGCATTTATTTAACCATTCATTTTAATGCTTAGTCCATCTGAAAAAATCAATGTGCGCATATAAAAAGTAGGTCAATGACTAAGTTAGTTATACCAGTATGCTAAAAATCAAAAAATTAAATGTCTTAAGGTACGACCCCCTTAATGGGCACTGTAAGGAACTGTAAAAATGACGCCACTCCGGTCAGTTATAATTGCCTTGAAGGACATATGTATGCAAAATTTAAACAAAATTTACCATGCAATTTATGAGTTATGAACATTTTTCTGAACTAAATCTTGGCTATTAGAAGGATTCTTTTTTAGAAATGAGGAAACTCTAAGTAATCTATAATTTCATCATTATCTTTTCTTATAAGCATAAAACTATTCCTTATAAACTATATCTAAAACTTTCAAAACTTGCTTGACTCACTTTAACAAGCACTATAATTAATAAGTAATTTTAAAACACATTGGCATTACTATTTCAATAGTTTAATAATTAACATTTAAAATGCAAATCAGGTCCATAATCAGCCCCATAATTTACAATCAAAATTTTGTGGTGTTTAAAATTTTTTATGCTTTGATCATCTGGCGGGAAAAGAATCAAAGCCAAATCTAAAAAGCCCGGATACACTTTTTAATTAAATGTTTAGGGGGTTTTTATTTGTTCTATTTTTTATAATTAAAAAAAAAAGTTTTGTAAAGCAAATGTATAGAAAACAAATTAAATTGCACATATATAATTCTACCTTTTTAATAGCTGTGTATAGATGGTTGAGTTAAATTGACAGACAGTAAACGCAAGTTTAAATCTACAAATTATATTCCTTCTTAAACGTTTATAGCATGATTAAGATTGATTTCAACACACAATTTCAGCCACATCATCATTAACTAAATTAAGTCTAGCCATACATCTAGAGTAGTTGATAATGTTACAAGTGCCCTCAGGTGATACATCAGCCTGGTAATTAACTTACTAATTATGTTTTCTACTTTCAAGTGTCATTAAATCAGACTAATAGATCTAATATTAGAATTATTATCCCTGTGAAGAGTCTAGACAATGAGAGATATAAAAAAGTTCTTATGCACAATTCTTGGTGAACTTGTACTATTACTTAAAACCAGTCATGATCTGGAAGTTAAATTGGTTGTTAATCACAAAATAAAGTTAATATACCTAGCATTATTTCTTTATATATCAGAGGCTGTTTATTTGGAAAAGCCTTACATTAAAATCATGCAGTTTTCTCCACATAAAGTTTTTTCTACCCCTTTTGCAAATATACCATGTCATTTTCCCCCAAATTTAAGGATAGGGCTTAATTTACTTCCCTTATTTGTCAAAAAATGCCCTAGAAATACACTTAGTTCTATCCTCTATTGTGACCTTGACCTTTGACATAGGGGCCTGTCCTTTTTGAGCACGCATTTTATGGTGGGGGCATAAAAATAACCATTAATTAGCTACCTCGTTATGTAGACAAGTTTCACACATGCAACAAATATTCACTTAAAGAGATTAAGACACAGTGATGGACCTGAGCCCAAACAACAATTATCATATTATAATTATAAAACTGTATTTGATTAGTTGGTATTACATGTAAGTTTATATGTATTAGTTCTTTATTTTCTATTATTCAATTATCATTGTAACTTGTATCGCCACACTATTTTTCTTTTCTTTTCATAAATTACACATTTATAACATGCTATATTCAGACATACTATACTACATGATTGTGTATTTGTATACTTGGTGATAAAAATGATTAAAGTATGCTTATAGTGGGTTTTAAATTTGAGTTAAACCTAATTTTTCCTAGAACATTCTTAAAGTACACTGAAAGTAACAAAGAATGGCATACTGTTCAGGCCTTTTTTTCCTTATATGTATATAAGGAAACCAATAATCAGGGGCATTCCAAGTGGCAAAACATAATGTTTATGTCCCAATTGAGATAAAAAAAAATCTAAAGTCTTCATTAAGGTTGTTGATGATTTTCATTGAAAGAAAATCCTTTGTAATTACCTAAAGTAATTAGTTTCAAGGGATTTTCTTTACAAGAAAATATGAATACATTTAGGAGCATTGAAAGAAGCTATTCCTTTAATCATTATAATTATGTTCAATAGTTTCTATAGGTTACTCTAAAAATTGCCAATTTTGACTTTTTCAGCTGTTTTCAAATGTTTTTTTTTATTCAGCTGCAATAACTCAGCCAAAAATCATTCAACTGGAAATCTTGTGTTATAGGTACAAGAACTTTAGCCACTGACCAATCCTGTAAAGTTTCATTTAAATTGCATTACTGGTATAAGAGAACTTTAAAAATACAAGAAGGCAATGATGGCCTGTAATTGCCCACCTGAGTAGAAGGTTCAAATGAACAAGACTGCATTATCAAGACATTGGTACCTGTAGCAACATCAATTTTACAAATTTCAAAGTGCAGTGGTTGGTGTATTCACAGAATAAATTTGTGGAACTGATACATTTCATATTATTATTATGTAATTAGTAAAAATTAAAAAAGTTTTTTTACAAACACAAAAAAAATTGTAAAATAGTGACTAGAATTTTTAAAAATTTTTTTTTTTTACTCTCTTTGGCAAACTTTTCAGCAGACCCGGAAAAAAATTAGAGCAATTTTTTTAGAGGCCATTGAAAGGTCATTTTGCAAGTTTCATCACTATTATGCAGGGGTTTAACTAAAAAAGTTAATGATAAAAAAAGAACGGATAAGGGGTATCACAATAGCTTTTATGTCGTGCTAGGTAGCTAAAGAATCATTAAAAGGACATAACTTGGACACAAGTGCAATCAGTGATGATAGCCAATGAAGCAGTTGTATTGAGGGTGATTGACCAAATGTTCCCTATATGTTGCTGCTAAAAGCAAAGAAACAAATAAACAGTTTTGTCCAACTTATTGTACTACGTGAGTACGTGACGAGATAATGTGCTTTTTTTCGTATGGGCATTATCTCCCCTCTAAATCCATGTTTCACCACAGAAAGGTCTGTTTCTAGTTTTGACGTAGAAATGAGTTTCTGACCCAGAACAAACATCTCAGGCACATTTTTTGTAGATATATATTTTGACTGATAAATGGTTACTGTAAACAGAGACATCTCTGCTGTAAACAAATCTTTAAAAAGATAATTATAATATTATTAATATTAAAAAGGTAAAGCCTCAAAGGGAGCTCGATTTACTTTTACCGTGAAATGGTATAAAATAATCGT